GAGAAAGCTTTCAGTTGGATTATAGCACCCTTTTCCCTTTAGTTGACACCTGCCCTACAACGGCTGTCTATATGACAAAAGAAAAAAAATATTCTAACTTTTAAATTTTTTTATTAATTACTATATTTTTTTTTAATAGTAATAACAGTGTTTATAACACTGTACATTTACAGCAAAGGCGTGTATGTCAATTTTGAGTAAAAAAAAATTATTAACCGAAAAAGAAGGAGATTTTATGTAATGTACCTCCGCAGATTTCTTCATCAATTGTGGACCTATTTTGATAATTCATTTTTTATATTTAAAAATATTATCTAATTAAAATATATACTTATGTTTATATATACATAAGTAGGCATGTAAGTAATATAATATATACTTATTTTAACTTTACTTAAACATCGTTACAAATTACCTAGCACCTTATTACTGACAAAATAAGCATTATTTTACTGGTGCTCAGTTTCTACGAATAACTTAAAATTTAGTTTGATATCAAAGTTGAGAATAAACAATTTATATTAACATTCGATGCATAGTCACGGCTCTAAATCGTTGTGTTTACAGAACAAAGTAAAACAACATATTTAACAAATATAATAACTTAATATAGGTAAGTATAATAGAATATTTTCAAGACAACGTAATTAAATTTAACATAAAATTTTACTATAAGGTTTTATGTTTATGTATATAAAATGTTTTAAATGAAATTGTAAATTATATTGAAATAAATTTATTACATTTATTTCTTTCTTTCTTCCTATATAGAGTGTAGTCTGTTACAATAGAACTAAATTAACACAGAAACCCTCATTAAATAAAATTAGCTTAAGAAATTAGCAATATCGAAACATTTAATCAATTAATCGAATATTTTTTTTTCACAACACAGGGGGACAAACGAGCATGCGGCATGGTAAGTGACTACCGCCGCCCATGATCACCCACAACACCAAAGGCATTGCAGGTGTGCTGCCGGCCTTTGAAAAAGGAATATAATCTTTTCTTGAAGGTTATTTATATAATTTAACACCGTTTGCTGACTGCTTTAACCATGCTGTGTGTACACCTGTCTGGGTCTCAATCTAGTTCAAACTATTATCTTTATATAAATGTTATTGATTGTAACCTGTTGTGTATACCTTTAATAAATAAAAAAAAAACAAAAAAAAAATTATACGGTTTTATGATCGATTTGATTATTCGTTTATTTAATCTTGCATTACTTCTACTTCTATTGAAGCAGACGATAGCGTAGTCTATTGTGAATTAAGCCTATTAAAAATTAGTCTATTATTTATTGGGTGGCCAGTATCTATTTAGTATAATAATACTCATACAATGACTTCAGTATTTTGATTCGTATCGTATTCGGAATAGAATCCAAAATTGTTCATTACAGTTACACAGAGTAATGTACTGTTGGTTTTGATTGTTTTTTTTTTTCTAATAGACTAGTCTCCATAGACAAGTGGCAAAGGAATTTATCGGTAGTGACTAATTAGTCGATTGTTTTAAATATGTAAGTAGAGTATTTATATAAAAATTGTTGCTTGAATTTCCAAAAAAGATTAAGAGATGATGTCATACATGAAATATAAGTAGTCATAATTAAATATATCATTAAATACTTCTTAAATTTACTAAGGGTAAATATTGAATTTTTTATATAGTTATACGTATTTAATTTTGTAATATAAAACTAGACTGTCAAGTACAATAGGCTATATATTTGACAGTAATAGTAGGTACACTATATACTATAAATATAATACAATCCTAAATCAGCACCAGTCCATGCTCCACAATATTAGATTTATAAAAATATACTTAATTATAATCCCGTTTCTAATTTACAATCTGAATATAACGAGAAACGTATAAAGCATTCCTGATATTAACAGTTATAAAATAGTTATAAAAATAAAATTACCCGATGAAAAATTGCTGTAGTATTTTTATAAACTGTTTTTCTATATTTGGCATAGATTAAAAATATTCTTTGCTAAATCTTTTTTTTTTAAATAACAATGCATAAAATAAAATAAAAATTGGATTTGTATAACCTTTTACAGTTGATTACATTTCATTTTTATTTTTCTATTTTTAAAATAAAATATACAAATAAAATGTTATGATTATTTACTAAAAATACTAAGTAAAAGAAACAGATTATATCTATTGTAGCTGTGGTATTCGGTCATGTCCCTTACTATCGTCACGACTTGGTTAAAAAAAAAATTAAAACTATTTGATTGTAGAAATTTTTTACATTGAATTGAATTTATTTTTATACAACACAATGTTGTAAGTGACCTATAGATATTCCAACAAAGCATCTGTAATGCGTACTCTTAAAGATAATCCATCTGAAAAACCTTAATAATAGCATTTATGGTTATCAGACCCATAAACATTGTATTTTTTTACAACTACTTTAATCGTGGCAATTCGAATATGGAACTAATATGAGAGCAAACCTTATGGATTTTATGAAAATTATTAAAAACAGTTCGTAATTAATAAGAATAATAAGTACTACATAATAACACAAACCACTTGGTTCTCAAGCTATGAAGCTATATATATCCTGTGGTATATGCTGTTATGAGGAATCAGGCTGCGACATCTGGGGATACACTCTAAACACCCGAAACTGAGTGAACTCAGAAAACATCGTTTCCCGAATTGGCTCGAGCGGAAATCGAACCCATTCGGAATTGGCGATATTAACGCGAAAAATGTTTGAATACACAAATTGAATTGAAGACGTTCTAATATTTGAAGTAACTTTAAAAATTTAAATGTAGGGAGCCTCATATAATTTTCTATTAATGAACTTTATCAAAGGTTTCAATCGGTTTGTTTAGAGTTTACGGTCTTCTACCATTCTCATATATATATCATATATATATATATATATATATATATATATATATATATATATATATATATATATATATATATATATATAAAGAATATTGTGTAATATCTACTAAGTTTATCTATAGATAGTACATGTAGATAGTCTTAGCTTAAATGTGTTAAATGACTCTTTTAATGACTAGAAAAGGAAGTTATGAATACAATAATCAGCATTTTAACTTGAAACTTTGTATATGAATGTTTTTATGTATATTTGGTAATTATTAGGATAGGTTATAAAGTATATATTACTCGTATATATGAACCAAAATATTCACTATTAATAATTTTTATGGCAGAACAACGTTTGCCGGATCAGCTAGTATAACTCTATATAAATATAAATAAATATAGTTAAATATTATAGAACATTAATATGTTATCCTTTCTAACAGTTAAGTACCTTCCCACAGTCTTAAGTATATACTTACGATTAAACCTTTCATATTGGTAAATTAATGGCCGTCAATATCAACTTAATTACAGACTTGACTAAGAATAAAGACTAGATTTGATTACGATATGACTTAACGTTTGCTAGCAGCGAGCGAGCGAGCAATAATATTTTATCCTTAGTAATATTACAAATGTGAAAGTGAATTTGTTTGAACGTTAACTTATAACGCCTTAACTGATCCCTATGGGGGGAAAAGGATTGTTAGTAACGGGGTCTAATTGACCCATTACTAGCAATACACCCTATCAGGTCAATCTCCACACGGTTCCCCCTGGAAATCATAGTGATTAATTCTAGTGAAATTCGTCACGATTGGCTAACTGACCTGCTTTCATCGTCACCTATCATCCCACACTGGTGCCTCGCTAACGTATACCGATAGCGCAGGCGGGATTAGCATTCCATTATCACCTATTTAAAAAAAAAAACTAATCACTACGAAATTTGATATATACGTACTAAATGGGCAGGAGAAGGATATAGACTACTTTTTTATCCCGATCAGTAAACATATCCAGATTACGCGAATAAAGTCGTTGGTAAAAACTAGAATTTAATTAAGAGAAAAAATAAAGTTGCAAATACGGTGAAAATTAAACTTAAAGATGACACTAATAAAGTTCAATATAACATTTGCATACACTAGTCACGTTTAAAGTTATTTTTTATCACTACATTACTTTTATAGCTTGTTCCAATAAAACTTAATGCAAAGGTTGTTCAAGTTGAAATTATCATAGACACACTCTTTCTAAAAGAAATTAGTAATAAATCGAAACATTAAATCAATTAATTGTATGTTTTATTTTTAACAGACTGTTTTATAGTCGGGTCAGTCATTCATTTGTTTACATTTCCATTAATATTTATTATTTTATCAGTTTATATAGATAGGTAATTTTTTTGCGTAATGCACGTTCGTCATCATTGCCCTTAAAGGTTTTCTGTTTTTACCTAACGGTTAGCTGGTAGAGAATGCAATATGGAATTAAACTCACCACTAATACAAATTAAGTACTATTTTGTATGCAAGCAACCCTAGTGTGCTCATATAACATTGATTTGGTTTTTACAATTGTAATGTAATATTTATTTTAATGAATAAATAGATAAAAATAATTTATTATGCAATAAAGAATAAATAAATAAATATATGTGTACAGTCACTGTGTTTGGAAACGTTTTTCAATTGTATTTTGAGCGGATAACGTATTAAAAAAAAATAACAATTTTTTTATACAACTTAGAATGGCAAACAAACTGACAGTCCACCTGATGGAAAGTGGTAACCGTCGCCTATAGACATGAGTAGTACCAAGGATATAACAGAGTATACTATTTTACCCATAATTCCATCCATGCGTTGCCATTCATGAGAACTCAGGTGTTATTCCTCAAATTATTTGTTTATTTATTATTTATTGCACAAAAACAATTCGTACAAGTGGCCAGCTTTATACCATATGGCATTCTTTACCAGCTAACCATTAGATGAAAACAGAAAGCGTGTAAAGGTCAGATGTGACAAAATTAAAGGTAACATACTGAAAATTATATCCATAGACTACAACCAATGATCATAATCAATTGAATATAACCTCTGCATGGCGGCTAACCCCCTCGCTCTACTAGCAGCATCATCCTTTACGTCATCCTTAAGCACACATTCGTAAATCATCCTATAAGACTTGGCATGATCCTCTAGAAAATACTTAACATCGTTACCTACTTTCGGCATTATCTTATTCTTCTTCAATCTCGTCTCTTTCTCGATCGATTTCTCGTCTTCAACCTCGTTGCTGATCCAGAAGAATGGTACGTCGTCTTGATAAAGTTAGCGTCAGTCCTCACAGAAGGAAACGACCGGGGCCGAATGGTTTTCCCTGGGCGGTACGAAGCATGCACACGCTGGGGGTCCAGGGGAGGACAACGCTGATCCGGGACCCAAGGATCCCCCGCAGGATAATCTTGCTCGGTCCCTTATATTCAGGATGGACCGTTGCGGACTCCACCAGGGTTCGTCGTAACTATTGCCTTCGTAGTCACGAGGTGCTATAAAAATAAAAGTTCAATTAAGTTTTAAGTACTTTCGAACATTTTTGTTCGAAAATGTTGAAAGATGTTATTTAAAACTTGATTAAAATATATTACAGACAAGCGTTTTTTTTTTTTATGGGCATGACACATAAAACATAACATAGTTAACGATAATAAATAAAATTGGGTCATGATAGATATTTTTAATAATAAATTTTAACTGAGATTTTTTTTATATTACTGGGGTGACATAAGTATACGGCCCACCTGATAGTAAGCAGTTACTGTAGCCTATGAACGCCTGCAACATTAAGAGCACACTATTCGCGCGTTGCCGATGCTGAAGAAACCTCTTTATCCTTTTTTTGAAGAACTCCATACTGTAGACTCTTAGAAAAACCTCAATAACATGAGTGTTCGTGGGAGGTAACGTCTCTGATGATGGATGACTTAAACCAGAGGTTCCCAAACTATTTTCTCATAGATCACTTTCAAAATTTAGCTGGTTCCGGTGGACCCTCTATAGCTACATTTCTACCATATACTCAAAACTTGACCAAAAATGTGAAGATTAGATCTAACTATTGAAAAATTGCGGCTGAGTTCTAACAGGTTCTAACTACGAATTATTAGTTTTAGAAAAAAAGTGAGAAATAATTGATTATACAGTAAATGGACGTCAAAAAGTTTTCATCAAACTTTATTTTTTGACATCTACCCACAGCAAAAGACATCAATTAATTCTCACTTATTTCATTTAGAAAACTCTCCATTCGGTATGATTAAAATAAAAATAAAAAATTTTAGTGTATTTATTCAAATATGTAACTATTACACTATCAATTATTACTGTTATTTTATTACTTGTACAGCAATTAATCCATTACCTTAAGGTTGTCTTGAAAAGATTGCTCTCAGCAATAAGACCGCCTTACTGTACTTATACAATTGTATCGTTGTGTTTATAAATTGTCTCGCTTATTTCCTTATGTATAATGCTAATAAAGTATACTCATTCATTCATTCATACATTGTAATTTTCGTGGACTCTTTCGCTCACGGATTGTGAATTAGAATGAATTTTTTGTCACGCCAACGTAGACCCCTGTCGAGTCTCCTATGGACTCTTGGGGGTCTTACTGGCCCAGTTTGGGAACTAAAGACTTAAATAAACAGATTACGAAAATTGAAAATGCAATCTGTTGCAAGTCTTTAACAAAAATGTGAATAGAAAAAAATAATACATAAAACAATACACTTAATAAATTGTTCTATAAAACAAAAAGACAGAATAGTAATATTCAAAGAAAGACTCTATTCGTATAAATTGCTAACAGTTTGAGAAATGTAATTTTAAATAAGAAGAAGACGGACCTATTACATTTATTACATTCCTATTGTTTGCAGTAATGTTTCAGTATTCGAAATAATGTTTTATTTCTAGTCCATTTAGATGAATATATGATATTCATATGTAGGTCTTAGATTAAGTGTCTCCATACAAATGCTTCGAGAAAAACGGGTAAACTTTTTCATACAATCGTGCGTGATAAATAGTTCTAAGTGTTTCCTTTGTAACTTCTATATTTATTGTTCAATACGAACAAAAATATAATAATGCAAACTATTTTATGATTGTAAAATAATTTTTTTTTAAATATATCTTTTGTTTTTCTCTATTCATTTCATTCAATATGCATACATGCACGTCTATATACATCATTTTTATTTTGTTTTATTCTTCTGGGACAAGTTCCTGCATAATTTATTTATATACAATAAAACCAGCGACCAGCAAGGAACTGAACATTTATTTTGTTTTACAATTTTTACACCTTTTTAAATCGTAAAACTCATTTTATTTATCAAATAATTAAATATAAATACGTCAAAATATATTATATGCTTAAATATATAGAACACTAATAAAAAACTACAAAAAGTTGACCTATTTTTGAGACTCGATGCTCTATATATAATCTAAGCATTATAAATTTAATGAATGGATAATCAAGTTATGTTGAAATAATAAAACGCCCTTGATGTAGGTATTATACATTTTTCCAGATGTTAAACTTTTTAGTTGCGTTCAGATTTGTTATTGCGTTTAAAAGAAAAAAATCTAGTTACTAAATTGTAGAAATTGCAATATTTACACTCGTAAATATATATACTCATATATACTATGTTCTAAACACTTAATATTTTTCTACTACTTTATAAAAATATAAAAAAATATTTTAATTATATTTTAACAGCAGCTGGGTAACTTAGTTAAATCTAAATACATGAAATAATGTTATTGAAAGCTTCATTTAATAAACTACATTTGGAAGCCTTGCTTTTTCTTTTTATATACGTTTTATAAAACTAAATTACTAAAATACTAACAGAGTTCTATACTTGCTTTTATTTTTTATATAAAAAAAAAAAAAAAAGAATAAGTTTAATACTTACGGAATCTGCAAAATGAATTTTTTCTTCTTTCATGGTCTTCTCCTACAAGCCACCATGTTTTCATTTCGCCTTTACCCTGTAAAACATCATGTTGGTTACATACACTCTAAATTAAACATCGAGGTCATGGTGACCCAATGGTACAGACAGCAAAAGTGGCGAGTTTGAATAGGATTGACATAAAAAACATTATATATCAATTTTAATTTCTGATTAACTCTCCGGTGATGAATGACACCTTTAATAAACCATATTAATCGAAGTACTGGCCATGTCGTCCCAGTATAAAATAAGCCACCCTTTCCATTCTTGTGCGTGTCGTAAGAGGCGACGAGGAGATAGAGAGGGAGAATAAGCAGCAGCGTCCTTCTTAAAACATCACCAAAACCCAACTACGGTTATCAACTCGCCTACCAAACGTAGCTTACTGGAAAAGCTCCTCCCCTACCAAGGGGAGCCCTGTATTTAGCAGTGAATGGTTAACGGCTGTATCATCATTAATCAAAAAGTTCACTTCTGCCACGTTGAATTTTAATATGCTTTGCGAAATGGGGGGAGGTCGAGTGTTAGAGAATATAGTCATGAACACATTTTTAGTTGTGTCACATGCGCAGTAGCTACAACGTGTCAAGAAAAGTATATAAAGTGCAGGTAATATTATATATAACAATATCTATATATTGTAATTACAATATCTGTACATTTATTGGATCAATAATAGATAAATTTCGGTTATCCAATATATATATATATATATATATATATTATATATATCGAATAGTCATCTCTAAAGTGTATGTTTAGTGTTATAAAATAAGTAACTACTAAGAATCCGATTTCAATCATTAAACAACATGTACTTTCATGACCGATTGCAAAAAGAATCATTATTTATTCACAATTAACAAAGATATCGCGTAAAAAACAAAAAACAGTGTGGAATTGAGAATCTTTTTGAAATCTCTTAAGAATATTATTTTTAAATTCTTTGTAAGACGTTGTTATTTGGCGATAAAGGATGCCATTTATAATTATACATTCCGTGATAATATTATTTTGTGCTTATTTTTTTTAAACTTGGAATATTGAAAGCCCACCTGATTGAAAATAGAAATACGACGCCTATAAAAATGTAAAACAATATAGACATCATAGAATACACTGCGATGCTCACAGTACCACTTATCCGTTGCCATTCTTGAGGATTAATATGTTAAATTGATATAAACCTTCGTACCCTGTAATATCGCTATTCAAACTGAAGCACAGCCATACAAGCAGTGTTTGTATGGTTATGCTTCGTGTTATGTGGCGATCCTCCACCGTCTACTTTTACTAAAACTTTGTTCCGTTACTTCTCTTTCGTCTACCATTCAAATTTGCAAACAGTAAACAAATCTATAAAAACTTGTTTAATATTTACAAAGTATTTCCACTGAAGTTATAACATAGAGTTCTTATTCAAAGTTATTCGTAAATTCGAAATACATAAAAAGGATTTATTGCAAAAACTATTGTATCTGCAAACTTTAATATAAGTTCGTTCCAACAAAGTTAATTGACTTACAAATGACAAATTTCATCTCAACTCAACATACGGTCATTCAACCACTGTCACTTTAAATTTAAAACGACTTGAAATTGATGGCAACTTCATCAGATTATAAATTAAGATATTTTTAAAAAAAGACATCAATTGCGATAGAATTAGTTTGAATTTTCAATTAAAAAAGAAAAATCGAAATTGATTCGAAATTTAAAAGTTAATTTAAAATTATTTCGTAATTAAAAGAGGCCGTCAGTCTTCGTTACTAATATAATTAATTAAATCTAAGTTAGTTATTCATTTTTGTATAAAAGTGTTTGTGTTATTTTTTATAAGACAAAATGTTATGTGTGTGTTACCCCGTCACCTCAGTCTTAGATTTAGATTTTAGAATATTATTTTCAATAGTTTACAAGATGGTTTCGCGTATTTTTTTTCTTTTGTAACAACCAGTGAGGATAGATGGACTTGATGAGAGTCTGCTTGCTAAACATGTAATGGCGACATAGTCGTCTCGTAAAAAGCGCATGCAAAATCTTATACTATATTCATAATGGGATATCTGAGCTTTAAACACAATCACATCATATAGTGTCGTAATTAAAAGCAATTGAAATTAAAAGTAAAATTTAAAAGTGGTTGAAACGCGAATCCTCTACTTAGAACTTGATCGACGCTATTCTGAATGAATATGAACAGGTTACAAGGTAAGTGTGCTTCCCTTTATCTACATTTTTTCTTTACTATATGTAGTGCATACTTTGTTTTTCTTTTACAATCATTCTAATTCACGAGAGACTGTAGGTGAGTGTTTTGAACGACACGACATGTAAATGGTTAACGATACCTTTAACTAACCCATCTGACAGTTTTATAATATTAAAATAAGTTAGCTATAGTAAATAAAAATTTATAGATATAGATAAAAAAAAGAATCGAGAGATACCTAATACTGATACAGATTTTAAATCTTACAGCGAATAGCTTTTTTCTTTACAAGAAATTCAGTATTATAATCTTTATGAATGAAAGTATTTCAGTTTCTGCTTCTATTATTATTTGTTATTCCGAAGTATCGTTTAGAAAAAGTTAATAGGTTAATATGAGAGTGGGCATTAAATATATAAATACGAGTATAATATATCGCCTTACTGTATTTATACAATTGTATCGTTGTGTTTGTAAATTGTCTTGCTTGTTTCCTAATTCCTATATTGTATAATGCAAATAAAGTATACTCGTTCATTCATTTATACAAATATTATAAAAAGATACCGAAGAATATTTTGGATCTACTTTTTAATATATTTAAAATTGTTATTAAAAACATTTATTGAACAAAGCCTCTGAACGATAATTTGAATGACAAGCGTGCATGGTGTTAGTCGATCATGCACGGGCTTTTAACGACCATGTAATTTAAATAAATACACATAATGTTAATAGACATTTAAAAGAGTAACTGTTGCGTTTCTTGCGGTCTCTTCTCGACAGAGAAAGAGAGAGAGAGGTTTGGAAAGTTGTTAAACTTTCCAAACTCTGTAGTAGATTTAAAAAAAAAAGTTTAAAAGTTTGTAAACAAGTCTGAATAAAGATGACTTGAATTTGAATTATTTCAGTTTGTAATAGGCTCTCTAGTATTATTTTAATGATTATTTTTATAATAGATTTTATTAACTCGAGCAAACCCAGAAACAATATGTTTCATGAATGTGATCAACCGAAAAGAGAATGTCTCTACTGTCACGAATAGTTTAACTTTTGTCAAATCTCTCAAATATACATTGTTAGAGTACCGGATACCCTCAAGGCAAAAATGTATCACTCACCTCCTTTAACAATGTGAGATTGTTTGATCTGATTTCATGGCCTTTTTAAATAAAACGTATGCGCGGATATTTTCCTTTGAGAAAGGTTCTTTCAATTCACACCTTTTCCCTGTAGGAAAATATTACGATATTTTTTTTTTGAGTATCAAATAAAAGCGAGCTATGTCGATGTTCTTTGATTCTTTAATACTTCCGAGAATATTAATTAGGTACTTATTTATTTCATTTCAACCTTTCTTCTTTGTTGTTTCTGATTGACTCATTAACTTTCTAAATTTGGGTGTAAAAAATTGTTACTACCCGAGTCTAACAACCCCAATGTGGGGGAAAGGGATTGTTAGTAACGGAGATTAAAAATCCCATTGCTAGCAATATACCCAACCAGATCGACCTCCTCGTGGTTCTTCCTGGAAATTATCATGGTTAATTCTTGATGGATTCATCATGATGGGCTAACTGGCCTGTTTTCATTTTCATCGATCACCCTTCACTGGTGCCCCGCCAGCATATCCCATTAGCACAGGCGGGGTTACCATTTCATTATCACCCATCAAAAAAAAAACAGCCCCAATGTACATACTAATATTACGTCAATCTTGCTACATATCATCACCATCATCTTCCTATTATTATCTTAATTATTTATTTGGGGTCGGTGTAATATATTTTTCTGTTCCGTTCTTCTCTATTCGCAGTTCTGCATTCTCTTCTGCCTTAATAGCTATCCATATTCATACTTAATTCCATTCTAAGATGCTCTTCGTCTCTACGCATGGCATACCCATATATAATTTTGTAATATGGATGAGTTAGCCTTGCTACTATCATGGTTACCATCACTATCAAATCAGCTGTTATCTGTCTTACTTTGCTGACCATAAGCCTCTACCGTAGACTATCATAAAGTACTATATTGAGCTACTTGCATACTTGCAACGTATTTAAGGTCGTCACTACATGTAGTGGCGATTGTCCTACACTGCGTTTTGCCCATATGGGATCCAACTCAAGAACCTTCCTTCCCCATCAGTTGTCGGTTCTTCGAGCAGCCAGTTCATTGACCAGCCCATTGCCACTTCAGCTTGCTTATTCTTTTAGTTATGTCGGTGACTTTGGCTCTGTTGCGGATATCATTTCGAATTCTGTCACGTAAAGAAACTCCGAGCATAGCTCCTCTCCTAACTCGCTGAGTATCTTGAAGATTTTGCATACGAGCAACCGTAAGGGACCATGTTTCGGTTCCGTATCGTGGTTAATTCCTACAAAATTTCTTAAAATAGGACATTTGGCTTAACTTTACCCTCAGCTATCATTGCTCACTGGTACATCGTCAGCGTGTACCAATAACGCAAGCAGGATTACTATTTTAGTATCCGACTGCCTACTTATAAATACTAAAACATATTTATTGTAACACACGGAGAGGTTGTAGAACATTCATATCAGCACTTAACTGTCCACTGCTGAACATAGGCCTCCCCTATTTAGGGGCTTTATCAGTAGTTACCACGATTGACAGGCGAATTGGCAACTGCAGTTAGGTATTCGTGATATTTCGAAAGAGACGTTGCTACCCATCTCTTGACCTTTAAGTTCCTTTAGTCGTTTCTTACATCTGTGCGAAGGGTAGGAAATGGCAGTGAATTTACTGGGTACAGAGGAATAACACCTGAGTCCTCAGGAATGGCAATGCATAGGGCGTATCATGGGCGAAACAGTATACACATACACATACACATACACGAATAACCATAGATTATAGCAGAGGGAAAATTTCTACAAAAGTCAATTGCTTAGGTCCCATTCGTGTTTCTACCGTGAAGCAGTTGTGTTTGCATGGCTGTGTTTCGGTTTGAAGGGTGGGATATGGCGTGAATTTACTGGGTACAAAGGAATAACACCTGAGTCCTCAGAGATGGCAATGCATGGGGGGTATCATGGGCGAAACAGTATACTCTATTATGTCCATGGTACTGCTTATGTCTATAGGCGACGGTTACCACTTTCCATCAGGTGGGCCGTCAGCTTGTTTGCTATTTTAAGTTGCATAAAAAACATCTACAGGAAAGGAAGGGATGACTCATTCATCGATAATATCCGAGATTTTTTAACGGAATACAATAAATATGGAACTAGTAAACCTAAAGAACCAAGATACACCAAACTATGTCTGCTTATTTAAATAAATGCTTACCTTAATATTAATAATTCCCCTCTCTTTAAAGTGGTAGCCTCCGTGCTGTTTCAGAAGTAGATACGTGTCTTGGCTAATATGAACCTTCTGCGGTTCTCCGTTGGATTCCATTCGCGCTGCTGTATTTACTGTATCCCCGAAAAGACAGTACCTGGGCATCTTCACGCCTACCACCCCAGCAGCACATTGCCCACTATGGATGCCTGGTAAATAGAAAAGTTCCATTAAATCTCCTTATTTTTTATACCACGAATATGGTGAACAAGCATATAGACTGATGGTAAACGGCACTGTAGCCTATGGATGCTTGCAATACTAGGGGTGTCACGTGCGCGTTACCGACGCTAAAGAAACCTTAATATTCCCTTTTTGAAAAACCCCATACTATAGTCTCTAGAAAAAAAATCATCGATTAAAAAAATGACAATTAAAATTGGTTCTAAATTAACCAACATAATTGCATAATGTAGCTAAAGACAAACGGAAAATTTCCTTCCTAATTTGATAGCTAAACGCGTAAACATTTTTCATCATATTTGCTCGAGAGAAACGTTTAGTTTTATAGGTAAGTCACTCCTATCATTTTGAATTCACTCTGTAATATTTACCGAATCAGGATTGTAAAGAAAAATAATATTTGCTTTGTACTGAAAAAACATTTTTTGAAGGTTTGATCTTTTTTGGTTTGCATAGAAAACGGCGGTTTCCTTCCGTGTTTGCTCGAGGGCTCTTTTTGAATGCGTAAAGTTGAATTATTTTATTTCAAACAATATGATCATTATATTAGCCTTTTACTATTTATCACTGAATATAGCTCTCCCCTATAAGGGGGGTTTTGCCAGTAACTAGTGACAAAAAAAAAAGGGGCAAAAAAGTGTAGCATTTGCTACAATTTTAAATTAAATATAAAATATTATTTTATCTTTTTATCGATCGCTAGTAAGTATATAAAATCTTGGCATATCTTTTTATTGAATTTAGTAATCAGAAAATAAAATAGAAACTACCAGAGGGAAACTTTGTACAAAAATCGTTTGCTTGGGCACCTCTGCCCCATTCGTGTTTCTACCGTGAAAAAGTTGTCTTCGCATGGTTGTGTTTCGGTTCGAAGAGTGGGATATGACAGTGAGTTTACAGGGTACAGAGAAATGACACCTGAATCCTTAGGAATGGCAACGCATGGCGGGTATCATGGACGAAACAGTATACTCTGTTATGTCCATGGTACTGCTCATGTCTATAGACGACGGTTACCACTTTCAATCGGGTGGGATGTCAGCTTGTTTGCAATTCTAAGTTGTATAAAAAAGAATATTAAAACTACATATATAAAAGAATAGATATATATAAATAACAAATATATTATGTACACAGGAATGTGAATGTATATAAATAATTACCAATACCACATTCGAGTATTCTGATACATCCCTATGGTTGACTGGGCGAGAATGCTTTTAGCATTTAGCAAGGCGGACTTAAGCCTTGTACACATACATGTACTAATGAATAAATAAAAAAAAAATAAGTGAAGGTGATTTGGGACCGTTTCTTACGAAAATCTACGGGAAGGCCTATGTTCAGCAATGGACAGTTAAAAGTTGAAATAATAATGTCAAAAGTTGCACTATTCTAATACTGTGCCACAATAGTAGTGCAAGATTTCATGGAGGTTCAATGGTTCGCAAATCACCTCATGTGTTTATGTGTTTCGCGATATTTTTGTGAAATCACCGATTTTAATAATACTTTTTGCGATCGATGGCTGTTGGCTTTTCTCTTGTATTGATCCCATATTATTTTATCTCAATTAATATCAGTGTGTCTTTGTGAACCATATTTCTTAGTTAATATTATTTATTTTGTTTGTGTACATATTGTTTATTTATTTTTTTGGAAAACGTACAGCTGAATTACAGTCAATACATAATCAAATTTATATCTATGTTAAGCCATGAATCGTTTTCACATTTGCGTAATGACAATGATCGGTTTTTATATATGCAAAATACATACATACACATACATACATACACATACATACATACACATACATACATACATATACACATATTTTTATAACTAGTATAATTTGTAATTGATAAAATCAATAAACGCTGTTATTATTATTCCAATCACGATGCAAATATTTAATGGGCGTATGTGTACATTTTATGGGGCGATGACTAGTAATATGATTAGAAAATCTAATTGACTGTTTGTATGGTAACCCGAAAGGAAAATAAAGGTCAGTAAGTTTTCTTCTAGAAGAATAACTGGTATCAAAACAAAGTCAAATTAGATATTAAATATTTGTTCATACAAAAATAATATATAATGTAAAACATATAAATTAAATTAATAAATATACATTCATACATACATGCGTTAAAAAATTCAATAAAAACATTTTTATCACCATATCAGTTTTTAACTGTCTACTGCTGAACATAACCTTCCCCTTAGGGGGTTTTGCCTGTAGTAGCCACGCTTGGCACGCGGATTGGCAATCGTAGATCGACTTTAAAGATGGTTTAAGAGGGATGCTGCTGGGGAGATGGCCTCGCCCATTACAATATTAGTTAAAAAAATAAAAGGCGCGCTGTATTATTGACCATTGATACAAAAAGGTATACAAACCTATCCTTATATGGAGCCTCGCAGCCGGCATATGTCTCATCCTGATCTTGGGTACGGCGTCCAACACGTGTAGAGCCAAGGACGCCACTTCGGCGGCGTGGCGGGAACAGCGCTCTGGTAACCCACCCACTACCATGTACGCGTCACCTATTGTTTCCACCTGTGGGAAATGATACATTTTTGTTGTAAATACACGGCTCTCGTGCTGCAGGTTTTCATGGGCGATGGAAGTCGCTTTCCATTAGGTGAATAGCATGGTCGTTTGCCTTCTTATGAAGGCAAACGACTTATTATTATTTTTTTATTGTTATCAATAAAAAAAAATAATGAGATTGACTTTCGTATATTTTTGTCATGAATGTTTAGTTTTTTTTTGTTTACTTTTGGAACTATCCAGGACAAATAATTCTGACTAAGCACGCATTATTTAGAGCTAAAAGTATAAAGTACATTAAAATAATATAAATTGTACAGTAAATAATAAACGAGTTAGTATAATTTTTTTTTTATTTTATTTTATTGGCACATAAAACAGATCACAACCATAAAAAACTTAAACAATAGTTACATTTGTGATTCGGCTAGGTTATAATCCAATCACATTATGTGCACAGCTTGAGTAATTCATGAAAAGCAAACACATAAAAGAAAAGAAAATACTTAAGATTGCATGCATGAAAGACTGCATGAAAGACAAAGTAATAATCCTTCTTCACTACAGAATATTATTGCAAGTAAAATCTCTTAGTAGATGGTTAGTATATATTGTTGAATGGAGTGCTCAGAGGGTGAAAATCCTTGCCTCAAGACTCAACTGCGAAGGATCCACCTAGATAATACTTAAATACACTTCAAAGTTATCTGAACTCGAAGAAAAACAGTAAATCTCTACGTTTCGCTGAGTGAAATAAATCTTTTTAGTGATCTATATCAAAATAATAAAAGTAAAAATAAATATGAAAAGAGAAAAACAGTAATGGTATTTTTGTACATAAGAAAATTTTAAATTAAATTTCATAAAAAAATTTAACACTCGTGATCCTGCAATAGTGAATAGATATCAATCAATGAATGGATAAAACAACAAAATACTATTTAGTATGGAGCGCAAAGTTTTTTTTTTATAACACAAGGGAAAAACGAGCATGCGGCTTACTTGATTGTAAGTGACTACCGCTGCCCATAATCACCTGCGATACCAGAGGCATTGCAGTGCTGCCGGCTTTTAAAAAAGGAATATTCTTTTTTCTTGAAGGTCATGATGTCGTATCGGTTCGGAAATACTGCTCCTTGAAGTTGACTCCAAAGAGTGGTTGTGCGTGGAAGAAATTACCTTGAAAAACGCACGGTGGAAGACCGCTGCTCGTCTAGATCGTATGTTTGTTTACCACCTTCGTGGTATAAAAAATCATAAACTCTCATAACACATTGTTACGCACATCCATGCCAGCTTGGATACTAGATATCCAATTAAATTACCTTGTAAACATTGTAGTACGATATGATAGCATCGCAGCATGTGTACAGGTCGTTTAATATTTCCACCACCTGTGAAAACAATATTGTCAATGAAGCATTTTATTGTTCATCAAAAAAAAAAACTGTGTTTTATATGTTTTTTAAACATAACTTGTAGTTTTTTTTTTTGCGCGAATTGAAGTAAAAATTATTTCAAGTGTTAATCTGTAACAGTGATTCTCAACCTTTTTTTTTTTGTTGCGGCACATATTTAACGATTTCAAAATTTGGCGGCACACAAAGAAAAAGATAAAAATTACATATACTACAACACACTGCATAAATAGTTTATGATAAAAATTTTAAATATTTGCAAAATTTGGCGGCACACTTTTAAAATTTGGTGGCACACAAAAGTGCCGCGGCACAGTGATTGTGAATCACTGATCTATAGATCAGTGATTCACAATCACTGTATTATATTATATATCTTTGTATCAAATTTCATTCAAATTTGTTCAACCATTAAACTTGATTAAGTAACAAACGTCCAAAAAATGAGTATCTTAATGTTTAAACATTTACAATTTGCGCGTTTATATTATTTATATTACTTTAATTTAAAGTTAAATTTACGTGTAATTTAGTCGAGAAAACTCGACTAGTTTCAAAACCGCATTTTTTTTTATGCAACTTAGAATGGCAAACAAGTTGACGGCCCACCTGATGGATATTGGTAACCGTCGCCTATACACAGGGGCAGTACTATAGACATAACAGAGTAAACTGTTTCGCCCATGATACCCCCCATGCGTTGCCATACCCGAGGACTCAGGTGTTATTCCTCTGTACCCTGTAAAATCACTGCCATATCCCACCCTTCAAACGCGTAATTATTAAGTAAATTATATATATACCTTTGTATGTTATTGTACAAACTCGCCGCACAAAAGGGGCTATTTTAATTAGAACATTTGTTTAAAAGGGTAAAAAAAGGAGTGTAACGAAGGTATAAAACAATATTGTCACAGTGACTACACAATTTGGCTTAGCAACCCATCTATTTACCTTCCTGTGGACAATTCGTTAATAATTAATTTTGATTTAATTTTTAACAAATTATTAAGAGTTACCTAATTATATATGAATTAATAGAAGATAATGAGTTATTAGTCAAATTATAATCTTTTTGGCATGGAATAGAACTTATTTTTTCATCCCGGCCAATCGATATAACTTATCACAAAGCTAAAGGCACGGTTATAGATAAATATTAAGATTGCGTTTTACAAAAAAACTGTCCTCATTTCTAGCACAACTATAATTAATTAGATTTAAAAACCAAACTGGATTTATTTTAATAAAATTCCTATACGAACAAACTGTAAGTATATCTTTTCAGATAAAAACGCATTTTCAAAATCGCTTCACAACTGATGGAGTTATAAAGTAACAAACTTAAATAAAATACAATCAAATTGAGATACACCTTCTTTTTGAAGTCGATTGCTAAAAAAAGTACCTACGCGAAACTTTTATTTATTTATTTATTTCATCAACTGGATGAGCTTTACAGTCTCTCAATACGCTCACCCAGAGAAGCATCAGTACAATAACACACTTAAAAAGGAATAATAGACATAATTCAAAGAAATAATATATTTATGGTATACTTACTTGCATCGGTGAATTGACGGCCGCTAGTCTTGTGAAGCCGACTATATCGCTGAAGTATATCGTGACACAGTCGTAGCTCTCTGCCTGTACTCTCTCGCCACGTTTCAGTGCCTCCGCAACAGTTCTGCGTGAAAATAAATTAGAATTATTCATTTATAAACCCTGTTTTAACACAACTTAAGTCAGTCGAAGAGAAAGACTACGGAGTCCCGCCATTCATATATGAAGATTTCTGAAAGACGTGTTTCATTGACGATGCCGCCTACAAACGTTTACAGCTCACGCTCAGTGGGCTGAGACGCACAGTCAGGTTCGCGCTCGCGTCACTGCCGCTCAAGATTAAAGGTCACGAATAGTCCCGAAACTAGTCGAGCTTTCTCAACCAAATTACACGTGAGCTAAACCGATAGCTGTTACATTAAAATTTAATTAACAGATAATTAAGTTATGTTTAAATCACAGAAACACCCTCTAAATAAAATAAGTAAGAAATAGTAACATTCGATCAATTAATAGTTTTTTTAATTGTACTTCTATTAGATATCAGCAAATATATTATGTATACTGTTAGAGATTTTTCAAAAAAGAGGTAAAGAGTTTTCTTCAGAGTTGGCAACACATGCGTAATGTCCTTGATATTGCAGGCTACGGTAACCGTTTACCAATAAATTAGTCGTGTGCTTGTTTGACAAAAAAAGATTTAAAACTATTCGTCTTATTTCGACTCACATTTTTTCCAACTTGAATGACCACAAAGAATATGTTGTATATTGCAACATATATATGTACCTTAAATATTTAGAATATAATAAAATGGAATCATCGTCTGTATTTAAATGCAAGGCTACAAGTTTATTTAGATCGTAATTTTTTTATAATTCTACTCCTAAGTTTGGAAAGAGGCTATTTGCTCCTCATGTCCTACAGCCTCAATGGTCGCGTACTGCGCAGTTTCAGAGATGTTTCCTCCCACGAACACTCAGGTTGTGGAATGAGCTCCCTGCCGCTGTTTTCCCAAAAGACTACAGCATGGGGTTCTTCAAAAGGGGGGTAAAGACGTTTCTTCAGGGTCGGCAACGCACGCGTAATACCTCTGGTATTGCAGGTGTTCATAGGCTACGGTAACCACTTACCATCAGGTGGGCCGTATGCTTGTTTGCCACCTCAGGTAGCATAAAAAAAGAACCCACAAGAAATCCACTTTAATTACTTATGGCAAATTGTACTCCGAGTCTAAACTGAATAATTACGTCGATTGGTATGAATGATAATGACTGTGGGATGATAACATTGTGCGCTTGAAGAGAACTGGAATAATAAATAATTAATTAATGTTAATAAGAATGGCTGTGTGGGCCCGACACAGAATGGGCCACCCTTTTCTGTCCCGTGGGTGCCGTAAAAGATGACGAGGGATGAGCAGCAACGTCCCTCTTAAAACTACTGGTAAAACACTCTTTATGGTGGACATAGAGATTGTTAGTAATGGGGTCTATCTGCCCCATTGCCAACAATATGGAGGTCGAATGATAAGGTTAACAGGTCGACCTCCACGCGGTTCCCTTGAAAACCATCGTGATTAATTCTAGTGGAATTTATCACGATGGGTTAACTGACCTGCTCTCATCGTTACCTATCATCCCACACTGATGCCCCGCCAGCGTATACCGATAGAACAGGCATTGTTTTTTTTGTTTTCAAAAGGTCTTTATTTATCATAAGTGATTACAAATATAATAAATTCCAGTGTACGTAATCCTAGAATTTACAATCAGCCATAAATCGTTTGGCAAGCATTATACACTCCTTCAGACATTTAAAATAGAGATACGAGTATAAGTATCTATAATTCTACACAACATAAAAACTTACATTACATGATGTAACTTATTAATTATAATCATAAAATAAACACAAAATGCACATATTTGTAAATTATGCATTATAACAAAAATCATACAATTAATTTTCTATTATCATACATTAATAAAACCCCTCTTTATGGGGGAGGCCTATGTTCAACGGTGGTGGCCTATGAACAGCTGATTTGATGATGACGAATGTTAATAAGTATGGAATGCAGGGAAATGTTGACACCTTTACAAATAAAGTGACAAAATGTGTGTTATTTCTCTATAGCAGTGTTTCCCAACCTTTTTTGTGCCATGCCCCACTTGAACATTTCTAAAATTTTTATTTCACCATACATAATTTTTCCCGACAAAGTTTACTTGACGACTCTAATCGCCCAGTTGATATTTTGGTAATGTCGAACGAAATATTCCCTAATAAATCTTTATAATATTTTTTTAAATTTATTTTGTGTTATATTTGGCACCGATATGTACTCGTAGCATTGCATTTAAATGACCCGGAGCAAGAGGGTTAAAATCGCTTCGAGTCTATTTTTTAATTGCCCCCTCCTTAACTATCAAATTGCTCCCATGTAGGGCATGTGCCCCACGTTGGGAAACACCGCTCTATAGCATATAGTAGGTATATATTATGTAGTTTACATATATTTATGTACATAATATATAATCCTTGTTTGGGAAAGCTTTCAGTTACTGTTCAGTACTGTGCAATGGTTTAGCATATATTAATTTCATGTTGCATGTTTTGCACATTTAATACCTATGCGACAAAATTGTGTTATTTGGAAACCAATTAATACACATCGAACCATTTTCGAATGGCACACAACTGGCACGTATTCGCTACCATTTTCTGATAATTTTATACTATTTTATTACCATTTTATCAGTATACTATTTACCAGTTAAAAGAGTGAACGAAAAGAGAACATTGGTTGAAATAATAAAGAATAGAAGAGGCAAAATGCTGGGCCACCTTATACGACATGACGATTTTTTTAAGAGCATAATACAAGAAAAGATAGAGGGCAAAAGAGGAAGAGGAAGACCGAGGAATAACTACATGGGACAGATAAAGGAAACATTAGGTGTCATGTCGTATAGAGAGATAAAGGATATGGCCTGGGATAGAGCTGGCTGGAGGAAGATGCATGAATTAGTTGTACCGACAAGAGGAAACTCTTAAATGAAAAGAAAATTTACCAGTTAATTTTTAAAAAATGAACATGGGTTATATATGTATATATTAGTAATAGAATCTTACATATTACAGAAATAGACGGAACTATAGTAATTTTATCTGTAAAAAGGTTATATTACCACAAATAGAACCTAATTTGAATATTTTTCAACGGACAAAAACTAATTCGTGCTCGTTTCCTTGTATTTGCATAACGTTTGATAGGTTCGGTTCAAAGGATGTATTGAATGGTTCCGTCAAGTGTGAGAATTATAATAAATGTAATTTGGATAGGGTCAGTTACCATTCGCTGTATTTGTCCGGTCCATATGTAAGCCACTTTCAGAAGTAATATATATATATATATATATATTAATTAGTTGACTGGTAGATAAGTTCGCCATAAGTTAACACATATATGTATGTAGGTGTAACAAAGGGAGACTAGGAGGAAAAGGATTGTTAGCATTGGAGTTTGACAACCCCATTGCTAGCAATATACCTTATTAGGTCGACCTCCACGTGGTTCCTCCTGGAAACCATCGTGAACAATTCTTGTTGAATTCGTCACGATGGGCTAACTGACCTGCTTCATCCTCACCTATCATATCATATAGCGCGGGTGGGGTTACCATTCCATTATCATCCATTTAAAAAAAAAACGGAGGAAGACTGTACAAAAGTCGTTTGTTTAGGTACCTCTGTTCCATTCGTGTTTCAACCGTGAAGCATTTGTGTTTGCATGGCTGTGTTTCGGTTTGAAGGGTGGAGTATGGCAGTGAATTATGGGTATCATGGGTGAAACACTATACTCTGTTATGTCTATGGTACTGCTCATGTCTATAGGCGACGATTACCACTTACTATCAGATGGGGCGTCAGCTTGTTTTCCATTCTAAGTGTCATAAAAAAATAGCTGTGGCACTGCGGAAATGCCGACAGAAGTGTAAACAAGAACAATTACGTGGGTATGTTTTGAATCGTGAGAGACGTCGGTTACGATAACAGTGTCGCGAATTCAATGGTTTTTTCCCATCTCAAAAAATGCTAATGTGCGTGTCACTATGTACATATATACACAATATATGTAGGTAGTTCAAAAATTAAAAAATACATTTATACTGTACATACAGACGATATTTAAGGAAAATGTATAATTAAAAAATGTCAGCTTCGATTGTCACAAAATTATATGAGACCAACACATTATCAGGTTAATAATGCCAGAGATATGTCATTATATACACACAAACATAATAGACGGAAGTCATTTAAAAATCGATGTCTTAGAAGGATTACTTAACCCATAAAACTTAAGTACGGGAATAGCGTGGAATTGCCGTAAAAAGCCAGTAAAACCATGGGTGTCTAACATCGATTTATCAAGATATGTTGCAGACAGTAAACAGAACTATTATTTGGCCCGTTTTCCTGTAATGTTCTACTGCAAGCCATTTTGTGTCTTATGTCTTATTTGGATAAAACATAGTATGCAAATTGCATGAATATATTCATTGGGTTGTGGTTTCTGGAGATTTCTTATATTTATTGTTACATTTATTTCACTTCCTTTTTGCGAAAGGTTTTTTTTTTCTTTTAGCTTATAAACATGCAAATAAAGTTAATGTTTAAAATGTAAACAAATGATTTTCTTTCATAGATTAATTTTTGAATAGAGCAGAATCATCATCATCGTCATCGTTTCTGGCATTATCAGTCCACTGCTGAACATAGGCTCCCCCATAAACTGCCATTAAGAATGGTTTTAAGTCACGTACACCCACTGACTACAACTAAAAAAAAACAGGTATGTAGGTACTATTTTTTTTTAGTGGGTGATAATGGAATGGTAACCCCACCCGCGCTATCGGTATACACCGGCGGGGCACCAGTGAAGGATGATAGGTGAGGATGAAGCAGGTCAGTTAGCCCATCGTGACGAATTCAACAAGAATTGTTCACGATGGTTTCCAGGGGGAACCACGTGGATGTCGACCTAAAATTGCTAGCAATGGGGCTGTCAAACTCCATTGCTAACAGTCCCTTTTCCCCCTGTAGGTACTATTTACCTGTAAAGGCTTTTACATCGCATTAAGTCACGATTATGTATTTAAAATATGTTGGATACTTGCACAACAAGTGAGGTCAAACAGTAAGTACTATATTTAATTTATTCTCCCGGAACATCCTATTTTGGACCACCTATTAAAATTTATTGCCTTTGTAGTATCAAAGAATGGGTGCTGATTATCATACTTTAAATTTGTTACCGGCAAAATTGCGGAAATCCCTCACAATTAGCATGTAAATGGTAGTTGTGATCTTTGTTATTTTCTGAACTATCGTAACTCAAAAGATATACGACGGTAAGTTTGCTTTCTGACTCGTTGGCTTCGTAAATTCTCACGAATGTGAATAAAAAGAGGGCCTACCATGAAATGTTTGCCGAAATTTCGGGATGTTTCGAATCACAGACTTTATATTAAAATTACATGGTATTAATGTTAAAATATTGTTTCTTTGGACTTTTATGGTGGGATGTATGACAAACGAAATGTTAAACGCAATTGACTGGAGTGATTTCGGTAAGAACAAAAACACGATCGTCGTTGACCTCCAGTGTCACGTTGTCATCGGGACAAAACGAACAGGCGGAGTAGACGGAAAATTAGTAGGTACGAAAAGATTTCAAAAATAAACCATTCATAATTGTAAGATATATATATATATATATATATATATATATATATATATATATATATATATATATATATATATATATATATATATATATATATATATATATATATATATATATATATATATATATATATATATATATATATATATATATATATAAAAATATAATTTAAGACAATTTCATAAAAAAAACGACTTCAACTGTGGAAAAACAAGTTATTAAGGTTCCAAAACTTAATTACTGCAGCGATTTTGATATAATTTCTATAGGACAAATTTATAAGTATTCGGAATTGGTACGCCGGCGAAAACCGCGCGACCAGGATGAGGTGCAATGAAACGGCAAAGTGTTGGTATACAAGCACTATTGATATTATACTAATGATATATTATATAATGCCACACCATACATGCAGTAGATATAATGGTACAAACATAAATCCAACCGATTACAATAATTTCCTTCACCGTACATATAACAGCAACAACCATGTTTTTTCTCTCTGTCAAAATCCCCTGTCAAAAAGACAGGGTTGCCACAAGTATATTCTTTCAGATAAAAAAGAATTTTCCAAATCGGTTTACAACTGACGGAGTTATGAGGTTACAAACATAAAAGAAAATACAATGACATTGAGAACCTCCTTGTTTTTGAAGTCAGTTGAAAACAGGTGGTCTACCATGAAATGAAATTTCGAATTTTCGGGCTCAATTTCGTGTTTTTATTCGTACTAAAATCGACCCAGTAAATGGAGCTTAACATTTTGTTCATTATAAATCCTATCCTAATAGTCCAGAGGAACGATATTTTAACATTTTTAATAATTTTAAACGGCATGTATTATTTAATTTTAACATCAAATTTCTGTTTCGTTCGTCCCTGAAATTTCGGAAAATATTTTATGGTAGACCCTTACTTATCTACGGAATAGAATATGTAATAGTTACTTTTAATCTTTTGCGTTGTGTACACATATTTTAAATACACAATTGGGACTTAAGAGGGGCCAAATTAAAAGTACCCGTAACCGGCGAGCGTATATAAAAAGATTGATGAATGTGGAAAAAGCGAAAGAGGTTTGTTTGAATCGAAGCATTTGGCGTTTCATTGTTTCTGCCTACTCTAATAGGAAGCAGGCTGGACAGATATGTATGTATGTATAACTTAACACGATGTAAAAACCTTTGCAGGTAAATAGTACTTACAAACCGGGGGGAAAAGGATTGTTCGTAATGGAGACTGAGAATCCCATTGCTAGAAATATACCCAACCAGGTCGACCTCCTCGCGGTTCTCCCTGGAAACTATCACGGTTAATTCCTGATGAATTCATCATGATGGGCTAACTGGCCTGTTTTCATTCTCATCTATCACCCTTCACTGGTGCTCCGCCAGCGTATCCCGTTAGCGCAGGCGGGGTAACCATACCATTTTTACCCATCAAAAAAAAAGTACTTGCAAACCTGCTTTTTTATTGCCGATTTTTAAGACTTTTTTACGTTGTATATTTAGAATATGTAATATACCATACTATGATACTCGCCTATACCATCTATATTTAAGTATATTATGATAAGTTTTGTGTAATTTTCCCGGCGTGTGCCATCATCTTATCTATTCCTGCTATCAAACAACAATGCGAGGGGCATTGTATTGTACAAGAGAGATGTAATACCTTAGTCCTCAGTAGATATGGACAATGCAGGAGGGATGCCACGGCCAGCATTGTACTTACTATAATGTCAATGGTATTGTTTGACGATGATTACTATTTACCATAAATTATTTATCTAAGTTTGTTTTTAATAGACAAAAAAGGTGACTTCAAATGTAACAAAATTAATATTGACTAGTAACTTGAATGAATAACTATTTATATAACAATAGCGATCTCATTATTCTTATTTTAAAACGAAAAAAAAAATATACACTGAGCAGTAATAGTAGTATGAATTTATCTACAATGTGAAAGGCAAAGGAACTACGCCATACAGCCTGGTTTTCAATAATATACACCGATAAACGACAAGATGCTTCATAAGCTTTTTTTTTTTAATAGGCATTGACCAGAAGCCACCAGCCATTACAAACGTAGACGACTTAGTACTAATAAAAATAATAATGCAATCTATTATCCCTTACTTACTTACTTTAAATTACTGAATAAGAATTTAAAGTAAGTGCAAGCATTGAACTATTATAACAATTGAATAAGTATTAAAATAGATCTAAGTCTATAGTAATATATATTTAAACTAATTGAATCTATGATTTATTGAATGCTGTTCGATTAAGTACTCGTAAAATATTTACAAAAAAAAAAAAAAATAAGAAAAAAATACCCTGCCTTATTTTATTATATACATTGAGCACAATTTCGAAGAGCCATTCTTCTAAAGCAAAATAACTGTTTTATGGACCAGCTTTATAGTAATTTTGACGTAAATCTATTAGAAATTCAGTTCATATTGGTCCCAAGAAAAAAGATTTTGGCTTCATAGACACTAGGTAAAAATATTTGAATTCAGAATGCTAACGGTATTCAGAACATCAATATTTTGCTCCACAACGAAAAACTGGGTTTTATTGTCACAAAATTTATTAAGTGTAAAAAAAATATCAATTCTGGTATATTAACGGCCACAATAAAAATATGGCCAGGTTGAAACTTCCTCCTATTAAAGATGGCTTAAAAATCTAAGAATTATTAAAGAAAATTCGAGCACCATACCTAGGTAACATCCTGTTCAGAAGATCATCTGTTCTGCTCTTTTCTTGCAATAGCTGTTCTGTTCTCGCTGCCACCAGTGCTTCTAAGTTCGACGCGTACTTCTCCATCATCGCTAACATGTTGTCGAATATGTTCGTCTTCCTAATGTAAGACAATATAAAATAACAAATAATTAACATTGACTAAATTTTTGTAGTAAAAAATGCAAACAAATAGATACTATATTCTTTATTGCACAATACAATTTGTACAAATGACTCTAACCTTTAAGTAAAAACAGAAAGCATTTGAGAGCAGTGTTTTATTTGTATTTTGTTTATATAATCATATGTTTTATTCCAGCGAAATGAATTCCAAATAACACCTAATTTTGTAAAATAAATTACTATGGTAGTTATATAATGACAGTTTTAAGAAATGTTAAATTTGAAAAACACATTTTTTTCAATAGTAAGTTAGTATAGCAGCTACAATCCATAAAGATTCAGAATTGCATATTTTATATCAATAATTTCACTCATATATTAATGCTGTTAATAAATTAAATAAATTTTACTAAGATTGTAATATTAAAAAAAGAAAATATGAAATTTATAATTTCCCGCCAAAAATTCGCTTAAGTATCCAATTCAAACCTTAAGCAAGTCTACGTCACTTCCAACAAAAAAAAGTTTATGTAATTTCTATGCAACCGTTACGAATTTGAAAATGTTTCCATATATTATAAATAATATTACAATACTATAATTATTGATTATTTTCATAACATAGATAATAATAATAATAATAATAATAATCTTTATTTGCTTAAACACGGTAAAGTTAAAGATGTTACATTTGTCAAAGAACATTCGTGCTTAGCTAACAAGGTGATAGCATGCAAAAATACATTTAAGGTTAACGATTAACATTTTGTTTTTTGTTTAAAAAGTCTTTTACATCATAAAAACTATTTATATTCAGCCAAGTATACAATCTCTCTTTAAATAAATTCACATTTAACAATTTTAATTCAGTCGGTATTTTATTATATACTTTTACACACATAGCTAAACAACTTTTTTCATATTTAGCTAGACGAGGAATGTCATCCAGCACGAGTCTATTTGGATTACGTCGATTCCGTGGATATATATCAGTAGCTTTTTTAAACAAATATTTATTGCTGTGTACAAACATACAAATTTCATAAATATATAGAGACGGTAGTGGTAACAAACCAAGCTTCCTAAATACCGGCTTACACGATTCGCGAGGTGAAAGACCATACAATGCTCTAATACATTTTTTTTGGGCAAGAAATGCTCTATCTTTTTCCGTACTATTGCCCCACATTATGAGTCCATATCGTAGTATTGATTGTATATATGCATTATACGTTGTGATTGCTGTTTTAATATTTGTTACGTTTTTAAGTCGTTTAAGAGCGTATACGAAAGTATTAATCCTTTTAGAAATGTATGCGATATGAGACTTCCAATCTAAATTTTGGTCTATGTTGATTCCTAAAAATTTTGTTTGCAGCACTTCTTCGATGTTCGCAACTTTTAATTTCAAACTCGTATTATTAATAGATTTATTGAATTGCATATATTTAGATTTATTAAAATTAATTCGTAAATTATTAAGACTTGTCCATTTTATTATTTTGTCAATTGTATTGTTAATTTGATTCTCATGATTCATAATAGTATTATTTTTCCTATCAGTAATCACAATGATAGAAATATCGTCTGCAAATAAGATACATTTATGGTCAAATATATTTGTAATGTCATTTATATAAAATAAAAATAATATTGGGCCTAACACACTTCCTTGCGGTACTCCATATTTATTAAATCTATATTCAGATGAGTACGATGTCATATTATTATTTTTGTCTATTTTATTACATACAACACGTTGTTGCCTGTGCGATAAGTAAGATTTTATCCACTGAAGAGCTGGCCCCCTAACTCCATTATTTTCTAATTTTTTTAATAAAAGGTCATGTGAAACAGAATCAAATGCCTTTGATACGTCAAAAAATAATCCTGTGGTCCAATTGTTATTATTGACATTAGTCATTATTATTTTTATAAGGGAATAAATGGCTAATGTTGTTGATTTCCGTTTTTGGAAGCCATATTGGTCTTTGCTAATAATATCATATTTATTACTGAACTCTATTAGCCTCTTATACATACATTTTTCAAATATTTTGGATAAAATCGGAATTAACGTAATCGGACGATAATTGTTAATATCATTCATTTTACCGCTTTTAAATATTGGCTTTACAATTGAAAATTTTAAAGAATCTGGAAAAGTTCCACTTGAAAACGATAAGTTAATTAGGTGTGTTAAGATCCCAACCAATTCATCTGTGCATGCTTTTATTATTTTTGTATTAATTTCATCATAACCTTCGGAGTTAGTATTTTTTAATGTCAGAATTTCCACTCTAACCTCATTTTCTGTCATTGGTTTAAGAAACATAGAGTTATTTCTTGAATTTTTAGGGTAACTACTATTTATGTTATTGCTTTTTGTGCTGCTTATGTGATCAATATACTGGTCATTAAATGCAGTTGCTATTTTTATAGGATTTGTTATTACTGTATCACCAATTTTAATAGTTTCTATACCTTTTTTTATATTTGTATTTGTGATTTCATTTTTTATAACAGTCCATGTCGCTTTGCATTTATTATCATTTTTCTTAATGTATTTTATATTTGCAATTTTCTTTGAGCTAAAGATACATTTTTTTAAAATATTAGCATATGTAGTATACTTATTTTTATTATAATTGTTTTTACATCTATAGAATTTGTACCGTAATGTCCGTTTATATTTGCAACTTTTTTTTAAACCTCGACTTATCCAATTATGTTTGTTTTTATTAACATTATTCACCTTTATTTTATTTTTAGGAAAACAGAGATAATATATCAAACAAAAAAGATCATGAAACATACTGAATGCTTTATTAAGATCTGTTTCACCATAAAGATCTGACCAGGAGAGACTATGTAAGCATTCTTTAAATTTTCTAATATTGTCTGAGTTATAATCTCTCTTGTAGATAAAATATGTTGCATTATTTAACGGTTTGCAGTCTACCGGAAAACATAACAATTGTGCAGTGTCATGATCAGAGAGATAAAGTGGCAATACTGAAGCAGTAGCATCTGGTACGTTGCTCAGAATATGGTCTATACAAGACGATTTACGTGTCGGGATGTCAATATGAATTTTTAGGTTATAATTATACGTTAAATCATATAAGTCATTTGTAAGCTTTCCCTTTTTCAAAGTATTTATGTTAAAATCGCCTGTTACGACAAGTTTTGAGTTGTCATGTAATTTATTCAAATCATGCAGTAGATTATCTAATTTATCAATAAAGAGGCTTGGGTCAGATTGAGGTGTTCTATATACACAAATTATTATTAACTTGAGTAAAGGAAGTTCCAATCCACAGACTTCAAATATATTTTCTGCAGCATGGTTTTTTACGTTTATTAATTCCTTAAAAACTAATCCTTTTTTAACCAAAATGCATGTTCCACCTCTTTGTTTATCCCTACAAAAACTGCTTCCTATTTCATAATTTTTTATTTTTAAATAATTTTCATATCCTTTTTTTAAGAACGTTTCTGATAGACATATTACATCTGGAATTTTATTTATTTCTTTTAACTCTAATAATGTCAATTCCAACAACTCTTGTTTTGATAGAGCACTAGCAATATTTTGGTGTATAATTCGAAAACTATTATTTGGTAATTTTACATTTACATTTTTATTTACGAAAACATTTTTCTTTTATTAAGGGGAAATAATACGGAATTGTACCTATTTTTGCAATTGCTGTTTTTATAGTACAGTTTTCACAACTTTTGTCTCTGTTTACCTCTACAATGTCATTTTTCTTTTGAAAATAATATGGAATTGTTCCCCGTCTGTGACAAATGTAAGCAGTTTTCTTTAAATTATTTGATTTGTTACTCATAATATTTTTTTAAGTTTTGTTAGATTTAAATATTTGTTGTCATAGTCACTACAGTCAATGATATAATTAATTGATTTACAAATGTCAGATAATTTAGAATAATTACAGTTTACAAAATTGCAGTTTTTGTATTGATTACATAACATACTGATATTATCATTAATTTTCTTTAAGTCTAATTTATTATTATTTATCACACTTAATATAATAACCTGATTATTATTAAACTTATTCAATAAGAAACGTAATTGCATTAAAACGGCCTGCATATTATAGTCATTTTCGCCCACACATAGTATAAGTTTGTCATTATTATTCAATTTCATATTTCTACAGTTCTTCACTACCTCCCGACTCAGTGCATTTGGTTTCGTTTCCGCGGTAACTTCATATTTTTCATAGGTGGTCGTCTCTCTCGAACGTATGATAGTAGAAGCTAATCCAGTACATTGCTGAGTTCCTTATATAAATATATTTCTCTTGGATTCAGGTTTTGGTACATCCGACGTGATGGAACGGGTGTTCATGTTTGATTTCGATGCATGTAATTTATTCGTGAGATTATCTATTTGTTTTGTAAGCCTTGTAATCTCCTTTAATGCGTCCTGTAGTTGCTGTTGCAAGTCTGTAATTTTATGCTGCATATTTGTCAAATTACGGTCTGCTTTTGTCGCAATGATTGGGGACGACGGTGTAGAGAACGTAGAGTGAAAGAGCTCCGAATATCTTTTCTCTTTCGTTGCACTACAGCTATTTTGCAATTCGGCTGAGGATGGATGACATAGTGATTTAAGTACTTTATTTTCAGTAGTTAGTTTTTTAACTTGTCTATGGAGATCGTTATTTTCGATTATGATGTTATCTAACTCGTTTTGCGTGCTTTCTAGCTGGGATGATAATTGCGTTATCGTTTCTTTCATTTCATCCTGAAGTGCACCTGTCTCTGTTATGGTACCATCCAAGCTTTTTGAGAGTTTATTTGGAGAGAAAATCGATCCAAAAGTATCATTCTCGGTAAGTATATGAGAGTCTAGGATACCACTGGCACATATTTTTTCAGATGATTCTTCTGTATACAATTTTTTGTTAGCATTGTTTGTAAGGCTCGAGATTTTGTCTACTAATAATTGCTTTTTCCTTGTTGTGACATGAGGTTGTTCAGTATGTGTAGTCTTTTGGTCTTTTCCACATGATTTGCAAATCCAGTTTTTCCTGGATTCGTTATCCAATATGCGGTATAATTTTTCTGAGTAGCCAGCACAATCAAAATCGTATCTCTTATTACATAATGCACACAATAATGAGTTCTTTATATTAACAGAACTTTTGCATTTATAGCAATTTATTGGCTCTGGCAGTTTTTGACCACTTGTAGTAGATTTTGAAGTCATTTTTCCTTTTAATCCACTATCCTTCGTCCAATAGATACAATAGATACAAAACAAAATTTTTCTAGATGTTTCTAGATGGTTGCATAAATATTCTAATTTCGTCAATGTAAGGGCAGTGCTGACTTTTAGTGTGTCCTTACTCTGATAGTTAATTTGAACCAAAATGATTGCATATGGAAACGAGCAGGTTAATCAATGAAATGCATGAAGTAATGGTAACAAAGGAGATTGTTAGATTATGTATTTTGTTTTTGTATTTTTTTTTATTTGTGCTTTTTTTATTTTTATTCTTTTGTCTCTTTTGCTGTGTATTACGTGTATGGTTTTTTTTTATTGTAATTTGTGTGCTGTAAGTAATGTAAATAAATTGTCTATCTATCTGTCTATCTATCAAATATAAGACAATAAAGAATATTAATAAAAAAAATATACTAACATGCCAGCATGCATATCCTTTAATCTTAATCTGACGAGTCTTAAATCAGGTCTTCTCTCTGGTCTTTCGCTCCAACAGGCGTTTAGAACAGCTAAAACTGAGGGGCGGGCGACCAGACCGCTGAGGGACGGCCGGAACAACACCCCACCGATGGGCTGGCGAACTCGTCCTATGATTTCTGTTGGCAAACAAGAATATACTCGTAATTTGTTAACAATATTTATACGCTGTATAGTTGTAATATTTAAGGCTGTAATGTTTGAGAAATTGTTAGATGCTAAAAAAATTACTTGTATTCATGATAATAAATAAATATTTTATATAATATCATAAATATAAATTATGCATATAAATGTACATTTGGGATCACTACTCAGAATAGCTCAAAGCCAATTTAGAAAAGTTTGTATACTGGTTCGATTCGGCACCGAATTCTGCGTAAAACGAAACAGTAATTATAAATTCAGTTTCTTGGAGGCAGAAACACGAATGCAACAGAAATGCTTATGCTTCTTTATTTGAACAAGAACTCTTTTTAGAAAACTCAAGTGTATTTCACACTGATCGCTATTAAGATTGACCTACACTATCCCGCCACCATCGTACTGTCATTACTTTTACTATCGTTTGAACAGAGGGCCTACCATGAAATATTTCCTAAAATTTCGGGTCCGAACGAAATACCAATTTGATGTTAAAATTACGATTAATAATACATACTGTTTCAAAATATTAGAAATACAAATTTTAGTATTTCTAATGTTTTGTTAACGATAAATATCGTTCATTGGGACTTTTATGGTATGGTTTGTGATGAACGAAATGTTAAGTTCTATTTACTAGCTCGATTTTGATATGAACAAAAACACGAAATAAAGTTTGAAAATTCAGAATTTTATTTCAAGGTAAAACTTCTGGTTACAACGAGATAAGACGACTTAAACACCATATTTATCCCGAAGAAAAACTTCCAAATATGGTCGAAATAAATGTTGGAAACTATAAACATAGTAGGTAAACTAATTAAAATCCCGTTGTCCAGTTAATATAAAAGTTCACACTAAAATGACGTACAATGTTTATCGACCTTTGGTATATCATAAAGAATATGTGATTACACATTCATGACGTCCGTTCATTCTGTCAATTAACTGGAAAAATGTTTGTATGGGCGTGATCAGCTCTAGGGGACGCGACCTACTCTTTGGTAAACATTGTGCTAATGTAATTAATTTTTTAATGTAGGTACAAACACTAAGGCACTAAGCTATCTACATACATACATACATATATACATATCTGTCACGCCTTGTCTCCCATTAGGGTAGGCAGAAACAATTGAACGCAAAATGCTTCGATTCAAACAAACCTCTTTCGCTTCCTCCACATTCATCAATCTTTTCATACACGCTCGCCGGTTACGGGTACTTTTAATTTGGCCCTTCTTCAGCACGTCGCACTAAGCTATCTTATGTAACTTAAATTGGTAAACAAGCTGGCTTACCGGCCGTCAGCTTGTTTGCCAGTTTAAGTTACATAAAAAAATCCATCTTGTATTTATTTTCACTTAACTGACAATAAATGAAATATTTTTCTGTTTAATTGTCAGTAAATATGATTGTATAATTCCTTAAGCATGATAAACTGGGAGTAAGCAGACAAGGGTTAGTAGGTGATTGTCAGTAAATGGATCTATAAATAATAGATTATTTACTCCAATATTACTATAACATAAAATATGGCAACCCTAAACTGTCAAAACTTATTTTACAATCATGTTTTGATAACTTCGTCACGTTTACTTGTTGAGCTTAGATGTAATTAATAATTCATAAATAGAACTGACATCAAAGCGCCTGCAGTTAAACTTTGATAGACGTAGGTAACATTTTGTCTTTGAAATATTTGGAGTCGTTAAATGGAATTCATTCGACAGTCTTCCGCTTCGGTACATTTACAGAACTCTATGCAATTTTAATGTTCCGTTATGTGGGTGTAGCAACCTAGTTGTTTCCTACAAAATGTAAACTCCAGAATTGAAATTTGACCGACACAAAAGAGATCTCTAGGTATCACATTTATTTAAGACTAGTAACCCATCCCGGCTTCGCACAGGTGCAATATTTGTTTGTGTAACTTTTTTTTTATACAACTTAGAAAGGCAAACGAGCTGACGGCCCACCTGATAGAAAGTGGTAACCGTCTCCTATAGACATAAGCAGTACTATAGACATAACAGAGTGTACTATTTCGCCCATAATACTCCTCATGCGTTGCCATTCCTGAGGACTCAGGTGTTACCCTGTAAATTAATTGCCATACCCCATCTTTCAAACCGAAACACAGCCATGCAAATACAACTGCTTCACGGTAGAAACACGAATGGGACAGAGGTGCCCATGCAAACGACTTTTGTACAGTCTCCCTCAGGTGAACTAGTTGTATAACTTTTAAACTATTTTACACATTTTAGTAAGGCTGGTATTTTAGTGTTATATATTATATATATATACTTTAATAATTATTCAAACTATATATATTTAAAATATAAGGCAAACAAGAATACGGCTCACCTGATGGTAAGTGTTTACCGTAGCCTATGAACGCTTGCAATACCCTTGGTATTGCAGGCGTTCAAGGCCGTTGCAAGGGTTGTCGACCCTGAAGAAACCTCTTTACCCCCCCTTTAAAGAACCCCATGCTGTAGTGTCTCGGTAGGGTGCTCATTCCATAACCTGAGTGTTCGTGGGAGGAAACATCTCTAAAACCGCGATATACGCGACCATTTAGGTGTTTTTTAGTCTTTATTCTTTTTTGTACAAAAAAATATACACACGGAATTTTGTACACAGAGTAATAATTAAACAAAGACCTCTATCCTGACATCTCTAATATGAAGTTATAGGATATCATATGATTGTCAGATCGATCTCCTCGCAGTTCTTCTTGGAAACCATCTTAGATAATTCCTAGCGAATTCGTTACGATGGGGCAAATGCCAAATTTCATCCTTACCTATCATATTTTACTGATGCCCTGCTAGCGTAAACTAATAACTCAGGCAGAAGCATCATTTAATTGCAATCTATTAAAAAAAAAGGAGCACAATATTATTATTTTATTTTATTTATGTAGCTCCATCTAGTTAATAAAACATCCGGTTAGAAAGTACCTCGGAACTCGGACGTAATTGGTATTCCAACACTACCTATCCATTGATATTAGAGGCAATAGAATGAGCCACTTCCAGCCCTTAGTGGTTAGTTGATGCTTTTAACGATGAGTGGCACTTTATCAACGTCAGGGGAAATTGCGCATCGATGGCAGTAGTCGACAAGTTAACTGACCCTCCAGTAGCCGTCATTATCATAGATGACTTAGTGTACAAGCCAGCACATAATTTTGAATTTAATTGTTACATTGTAATCTTTTGGAGAAAACAATAAAGAGTATGTATCTATTTGAAATAGAAAATTCTGATTTTACCAACTCTTTAATGTTTTTCTAAATTAACCTAATTATTTGCAGGAATCTCAGTTGCATATAATTTTCAGCTTGAAGTGGACGTATTGAGCAGATGTGGCTATCGACAGTGGTAAACCGTTACCATGTTATTATAGGTACGGCACATTGACCGCAATGGTTAAACGTAGAATTGTTTGTTGTATCTATCTATCTGTGCAGGTCCCAGCATAGAACAGGCCACCACTTCCCGTGGGTGTGGTAAGAGGCAACTAAGGGAATTTAATGGTAAAGAAATGGGCAGCAGCGTCCCTCTTAAAATATCACTAAAAACCTAATTGCAGTTGTCAACCCGCCTGCCAAGTGTGGCAACTACTGGAAAAGGTTTATGTTCAGCAATCAACAGTTAATGGCTGCTACAATGCATATAAACATCAAGACAAATAGGTTTAATATAGATAGATAGATAAATAAATAATTTATTTGCACTACTTACAGCATAGAAACAACAATAGACATAAATGCACAGTAAAAAAAAATACATGTACAAAAAATGAAAAATATTTTTTAAAATTATTTTGAACTTTGTAGTAATACATAAGTAATACATATTATATTATAATTTTCTCCTTACTGGCATAACTCAATCTGATTAAACCATGAAAGAATTGCCTTCTGACTTTTTCTGACCTTATTAGTTACTTTAAAATAACTGGAAGAATAAGGGTCAAGGACGATTGTAGAATTTCTCAAACCCTTTTTCTGTTTAAGTTATTATTAGGGAACAAAACCCTTTATCGTTTCATTTTATTCTCTTTTATAACGTTATTAACCTTTGTTGAAGCAAGGTTTCCCTGTAAAAGCAAGAATTTTACGTTAAACCTTGCACCGCATACCACTAAACACAATTAGATAATGTGTTAAGAGCGATCGTATTAAAGTTTACCGAAGTGTGAAAATATTGCAATTATCTGTCAATATTAAGAAATTATGTTTTTTTTTATATATTTATGATCAGTTTTTTTTTAATAAGTACTTTTAAAACAAAGTTTTATCGCTTTTGGACTTTATTATCAAACCGTAGATTCACAAGTCTATGGTTTTCGTCAAAACAATTTAGGCCATCTCAAACACGACTAACTTATTCTTTATTGTACACAAAAGGTTATTGAAATGTAAAAACAAACATAATAGTGCACAAAGGCGAGCTTATCTCCAATAGAGATTTCTTCCAGCAAACACAATATGAGAAAACTGACAGTTCATTAGTAGTTACAGTCATACATGTGTACCAATCGACTTAAATGTTATAGTTAAAAATAAATAAATAAAATGTCTTTACAATTGAAAAGACTGATAGGTATAAATAAATAAATAAAAATATATATATATAAGTAAATACATATAAATAGATAGATATATATTATATATAATACACAAATATAATAAGTACGTACTTATTATCTAATATTTACAAGTTTCCATAATCATTTTACTAGAGGGAGATTTTGTACAAAAGTTAAAAGGGGCACCAGTGATAGATGACTGATGAGGATGAAAGCAGGTCAGTTAGTCCATCCTGACGAATTCAGCTAGAATTAACCACAATGGTTTCCAGGAGGAACCACGTAGAGGTCGATCTGACAGGATATATTGCTAATAATAGGGCTATTTGACCCCATAACTAACACTTTCTTTCCCCTCCCTATATACATTAGTATGTAAAATCTTATATATAAAATTCTCGTGTCACGGTGTTTGTTACCAAACTCCTCCGAAACGGCTTTACCGATTTTTATAAAATTTTGTATGCATATTGGGTAGGTCTGAGAATCGGCCAACATCTATTTTTCATACCCCTCAATGATAAGGGTGACTCTCCCCAATATTTTTTTTAATGGACTAAAAAAATATTCTCCAAATAATGTATATGGCAATACAACGTTCGCTGGGTCAGCTAGTAATTTTATATAATTAGTATAGATTATTAAATCTAACAATAGGTACTACTATTATTATCGATATTATACTCGTAGCTAGTTTGAAACAACACTAATGATTAATTAATTATCGATATTAATATCTTATTCAATTTAATAATCGATTATATTGTATTATATTGTAATGGTAGATGTAATGGTAAGTCTGAATGGTAGATTAGACTAAGAATGCACTTTATGTAACAATATTAATAATATGACATGTACCTATCATGGTTAATTCCTGATGAATTCATCATGATGGGCTAACTGGCCTGTTTTCATTCTCATCTATCACCCTTCACTGGTGCTCCGCCAGCGTATCCCGTTAGCGCAGGCGGGGTTACCATACCATTTTCACCCATAAAAAAAATATGACATGTACAATTTTAATGCTTTATAACTATATGGTAATATCTACTATTTTTAAATGTTGACATAATTAACTAATTCAATGTAACAATTAATATGTATTTAGAATTATTAATTGGACATACGTAATTGATATTTTTTTACTTTAAAATGTTAGCCACTAAAAACTAACTAACATGTGCTAAGACAAAATTTGCATGCTTTTAGATAAGACGAAATGTGTAGCTGTAGTTACCATTTAAGACCTTTGTACCACATTTCGAGCAAATAATTTATTATTATTATTATTTATTTACCAATTAGAAATCGACACCCAACAATGATTTTAAAGAGCACTGTCTCCAATCGTCACAGGAATGCGATTCGCTTACGAATAATCGCACAAAATTCATTCGTGAATATCCGTGATTGACCGCAGTGTCTCAGCAGTTAAAAATAAAAACTCACCTGCAAATGTCAAACTGGTGTCACCCCAGGGACCATTTCTGCCTAGTATCTCATACAGGATAATCCCGAAGGAATACACGTCTCCCTTCTGTGACCCCCTGGCGGGGGGGTTGGGGTCTCTCAGCAGCTCTGGCGCCCTCCACAGCATTCGTCTCTCCATGCGAAGAGCATCCTCGGAGTCGGCGCAGCCACCTTAGATAAAATGGCAGATTTTATTTTCAATGTTTAGAAATAAATCTATACTTATAATAAATCTGTAGAGAGTAGTATCTGTAGGTGATTAGTGATCGATAATGATGCCAAAAATGCAATCAGTAAAATGTTTGTCTGTCTGTCTGTCTGTATGTTCGTTATAGAAACAAAAACTACTCGACAGATTTTAACGAAACTTGGTATAATTATTCATCATTCTCTTGGGCAGGTTATAGTATCCTTTTCATCACGCTACGATCAATAGGAGCAGAGCAGTGAAGGGAAATGTTGGGGAAACGGGAGAAGTTATTCCATTTTTAAGCTTCCGTCGCGTGTGCAGCCTTAATGGCCACTTTTTAAAATGTAAAAATGTCCACCCGTGCGAAGCCGGGACGGGCCGCTAGTCGGTAATAATATTGCAAATAGTGAAATCACAGGGTACAGAGGCATAACATTTTGATCCTCAGAAATGGCAACACATTAGGGGTTTATGTCAACACGCGACAGTTACTTTCTCTCAGGTAGGTCGTCAGCTTATTTGCCTTTCTAAGTTGCATAAAAAAATGTGAAAATGAGTTTTTGTTTTTGTTTCTTGACGTCTTAACGGCTCTACCAATTTTTATGAAATTTTGTATATCAAAGGTTACCTCAAACGCTTTCAGTAATAAGGTCGTTTTCTCAGTGTGATCATTTCTTGTAATTGTTTTTATCTATAATAAGCTTACTACCTTTTATCTTTAGGAGGAAACAGTAAAGAATATCTACAAAGATAGTTTTATAGAAAAAACGCGGGTATATATATATATATATATATACCTATATATATATATATATAGGTATATATATATATATATATATATACTCCCCATGCGTTGCCATTTCTGGGGACTCAGGGATATATATATATATTATATACTTTTTTTGTGTATGTTTATTTAATTTTATTGTTATTTGCGTATCGGAAACTCAAATAAATTGATTATGTACCTATTTATCTAAGTTGGCAGTCCCTAGTGTGAGTTTAATACGGATTTACGTTACTAATGTGTTCAGTACGTCGATGTACGCCCTCTAGGGGCTCAAAGCACATTGCTTATTTCTCGGAATTTGCTTATTTATTATTACTTATTTCTCGGTTTACCCAATGGTTGACTAGTAGAGAACACTGCCCAGTGTTAAGTCCCCCAAATATATAACATATAATTTTACTGTGCATTAAAGTTTAAATAAATAAAAATATTACAGCTCCGTCTGTGATGGGCTTTAAACTAATACCAACCTACACACGTCTATATAAATATATACAATGCACGTTTATAAATTAGAATGAACCTTTTTATTTACAATACATTTTTTGACCATAATGAAGGTGTTGTTATCCCGATTGAAAGGACGTGCCCGAAAATAATTCAAATTTTAGTAATATTTAATAAAAGGGATTTAGAATAAAGTTATAGAGTTGCTGGAGTACCTCTGTCCCACTTGTGTTTCTACTGTGAAGTTTGCATGGCTGTGTTTCGGTTTGAAGGATGCGATATGACAGTGAATTTACTGGGTACAGAGGAATAACATCTGGGTCCTCAGGAATGGCAACGCATGCATCATTTGCGAAACAGTATACTCTGTTCTGTCCATGGTACTGCTCATGTCTATAGGCGACGGTTACTGCTTTCCATCAGGTGGGCCGTCTGCTTATTTGCCATTCTAAGTTGCATAAAAAAAAGAGCAAAACATTTTCACAAAACAAGTTCGGAGCCGAACGAAACACAAATTTGATGTTAAAATTACATAATACTTACCGTTTAAAAACATTAAAAATAGTAAAATATTATTCTTTTGGTCTTTAATGGTAGTATTTATGACGAACGAAATGTTAAGCTCCATTTACTGGGCCAATTTAGGTATGAACTAAAACACGAAATAGTGTCCGAAACTTCGGAATTTCATTTCATGGTAGGCCCCCAGTTCTCTTTATTTTAACATAAACAAAAGTATGCTTTATCCTTTCAGAATTAAGGTTTAAGTTAAAGCAAAATCCAAGTTTTCGACCGCTTTTTAATAAGAGTGCAATATTTACGATAAGTTATACTTCGTGAAGCGTTGTCTAATTTGTGTTAATGATTGAATGGTTTCCATCAATTATAATTGTGGTTAAGCTATAAAATTTCAGACACTTAACCGAAAACAAACCTTATTTCAGTAACATAAAGTTTAGTTTAATTTTCTTATTAAAATTATTTAGATTCTTGTTCGTACAATCAAGAATCCGGCAACAGCGCGAATGGTGTGTAGAGATCTCTCTGCACCAATTAACTTATAGGGATTTTCGGCGTAATAAGCATTGTAATTCTATGTAAAACCATTGTGATCATAAATTCTTGGATTATGCTTCATTAAACAATAATCCGAGAAATTACGTAGACGTTTATTTATGCATCGAAATTCGGCGTTCAATTGCCACGACTATACTGCTAATCGAATGTACAGTGTCGCTTAATTTGTATAATAATAGTATTGAGAATAAGCCCGTCATACTAGTGAACGGGTGCTACTTGTTGGGACAATACTTGTATCAAATGTTGACGTTTATATTTTTATTCTATGTCAATGTTTTTTAATTTGTTTTAACAATTTAAAAGACTAATATATTTTGATATTATTATTAGCATTAGCAAACTTTACTGATCGTAAGAAGAATAAATTATAAGAATCGATTCAGAACTGAAGAAAATATTATGTAGATTTTTTTATTTATATATTTTTTCTATTATATCCGCCGTTAACTGTCCATTGCTGCACACATAGGACACTCCGATAAAAGTTTTGCCAGTAGCTGCCACGCTTAACAGGCAACTTGGCAAGCGCAGTTAGGCTTTGGTGCTGTTTTAGAGGAACGCTGCTACTCATCTTTTGGCCATTAGTTTCCCTTAGCTGCATTTTACTCACCCACGTAAAAAGAAGGGGTGGTCCATTCTATGGCAAGACCACACACATATTTTTAGTATAATATAAAGTTCTCTGATCGGGCATCCCGCGATTTCCGCGTGCAGTATCTACTCGTTTAATTTTACGCATCCCGCAATTTTCACGCTCGCATTTTTTATGTTTATTGACCTTGTTACTCGTATCCCGCGATTTTTAGTTTAATTTATTTTTAAAAGGTACATCAACAGTGTAAATATATACATTAATTTTAATTGATATAAAGGGCTTGCATCTTGCATTTACAGAATACACCAATTACAGATGTACACAACATTCTCTTAAGTCATCGATTACATATTAACAAAAATGACACCAACAAAATAATAAAAAAAAAACATACAAGTAACAAACATAAGAATACTTAAAATATATAATTATTAAAATTATTAGAATAGTGCAACAGTGCGCACATAGAATTTGTTTGGTACATTTATATTGTTTCTCAGAATCTCGAGACGGCTAAATACACGTACTGATATTTGTGGTCAAAGCGATGATTTATTGCTGTGAGAACAAATAATACGCGGTCACAGATTTAAGAGATTCATTGTCATTTTAAATAGTTTTACGAATTGTATATACAATTTACAGTCTTGCGAAACCAGTATAATATAAAATTATTCTTTTGAAAGACTTTTAAAAAGTAATAATCGGATTCCGGTTTATTATTCTCAGTGAAACCGCTTTTCGAATAAGACACTTCCGATAGGATGAAAATGGAATAAATTATTTTATAATTTGATTGTTATATATTTTCAACATTGCTTGCTTAATCGAGCTATTATCGACCTATTGAAGAAGAATAGAAACTGAATTTACCTAAATGAGCACAACCCGTTGTGAATTCCACATTTCAGAAGGTATTTTACATTTTAATCTATGTTAAGTTTTTTTATACAACTTAGAATGGCAAACAAGCTGACGGTCCACCTGATGGAAAGTGGTAACCTTCGTTTATATACATAAGCAGTACCAGGTTATATAGGAAATTTCACATTACACAGTTTGCATAATATGATAGCTTAATACCGTATTGGTAGTTTGGACTTTGGAAAAAATTAAGTCTTATTTTAATTTACAACTTAGAATGGCAAACTTAGCTGATGGTCCACCTGATGGAAAGTGGTAACCGTCGCCTATAGATATGAGCAGTACCATGGACATAACAGAGTATACTGTTTCGCCCATGATACCCCCGATGCGTTGCCATTCCTGAGGACTCAGATGTTATTCCTCTGTACCCAGTAAATTCACGCCATATCCCACCCTTCAAGCCGAAACACAGCCATGCAAACCCAACTGCTTCACGGTTGAAACACGAATGGTACAGAGGTACCCAAGCAATCGACTTTTGTACAAAGTCTCCCTCTGGTTTATTGTCTTTGTGTTTTATTCGCAAAAAGCGCTTTACTTCTTCATTTCTTATTCGAACAGTCAGAGAATGGAATTCACTTTTAAAACTTACGTATAAACATCGTTGAAAAATTATCATATTATTTTATGAATTCACTATGTTTGTCGTTTTTGACAATTACCTTGATTTCATCTGGAAGTCTTCATTAATTCTTTAATGTACTTTACGTCAGAGTTCCGATCTTTAAAAAATATTAGAATATTAACCCCGCGCTTGTTGTAATGGTGTTCCAGTGAAGAATGAATGAATCATTTTTATTCTTAAATTTAACCTTGTAATATAATTTATAAATACATATAAAGTACCTATTGTGTAAAAAATAGTAAATGGAATGAAAGAACAACAATAAGAAAAATAATTGATGAGCATTCATAGAAGCGAGTTCAAGACCGAAAATCGACAAAGGCACAGTGGATATAAAAAAATAATAATAGACTTCCAGAATAAATCAATCTAAAGACAGAACGAGGGAAAGCTGAAAAATAATACTTCCAGGGTCGGTGCCTATAATTTAATTTAACTTGGTTGTTTTTAGCGATAAAAACAAGGTTCTGGTTGAATACGTTTGTGATTGAATGAATTGGATTAAGTAATAATAATA